GGGGAGGAGAAACGGGGGAAGTTGAAGGAGAAGGGAAAAGGAAGAAGGTGAAGGGAGGAGGGGAAAGGGGGTTGGGGGAAGGAGCTTATGCTTCCTGTCATGTACAGCCGGCTGTGGTATAGCATATGCAGGAGAGAGGAGAGGAGAAGGGGTGGGGAAGGGGGAAGAGGGAAGCGTAAGGAGCAATGGGAAGGTGATGCTACATTATACACGCTCCTCCTCATCCTCACCCCATCTGTAATGAATAACAGCTGCAGCTCTTGGTAATATCAGACCGTAGTCGGTCTTTCTGGATTGCTGGTTTAGGGTTTAGGGTCAACTATTACCTGCATTCCTGTTCCGCATCTTTTTCGATTACTTAACGAGAGTCTGAACCGTCGATATCGAATCTTTTCTATTGGTCAACCTTGATACGCTGGCCCGGCGCGATATCTGAACCGTCGATATCGCGCCGGGCGAGCTGTCGATATCGAATCTTTTCCATTGGTCGACCTAGATATGCTGGCCGGGCGTGATATCTGAAGCGGCGATATCGCGCCGGGCGAGCGGTTGATATCAAATCTTTTCCATTGGTCAACCTAGATATGCTGGCCCGGCGCGATATCTGAACCGTCGATATTGCGCCGGGCCAGCTGTCCAGGGCAGTTTGGAAGTCGTCTCAGGAGTCGAGGTTCAAGGCAGGAGGTTGGAAGAGATTGAGGAATTGTGAGCTGGGGAGTGTGGCAGGTAATGGTTGCATCAGTTTGGCAGCACTGAATGGGCCACAATGAGGGGAATTTGGTAGTCTTTCAGAGTCGCAGGGGAAGCAATACTCAGGATCAGGCTCTTCGTTTCGTCGCATTTATGTGTGATGTCCCTTAGACTTGGTGTGGCCATTTGAGGAGGCTGAACCCTCAACAGTCTGCAGAATCCCCTAACTGATTACACTGTAAGTGGTAATCCATTTATATATACATAAAATGAACATGGTCGCCCCTAACGGTATTCAATCTGGCTGATTCTGGCCAATATTAAAGTACTCAATTTCCTCATGACCTTTTGTGTTTGCTATGAACACTCGCACGACTCGTCAAATGGCAAAATTTATACCCTTGATGTTGCCATTTGATGAGTCGTGCGGGTTTATGGTAAACTATGCTGATATGCCCATCCATTTCACACTAAACTATGCTGGGAAAGCACCATTGGCTTCCACCCAAAAAAAAAAAATTACGATGGTGGTTTGAACTTTTCACAAAAATATTCTCATGGTAGTTTTTTTTCACCGTGGTATTTTTTTGCACAAAAGATATTAGTGTGGTGGTTTTCACAACCGACAACGAAAAAAAATAATTAGCGTGGTGGTTTTCTCGAAGAGGTAATATTGATTGATGTGCAAATGTTTTTTTTTTTTTTTCGCGATGGTATTCTAGTATATTCTCGAAGAGGGTAGTATTGATTGAAGTGCGAATGGTTTTCACACAAAATATTCATCGTGGTAGTGGCGGTGTCCACGATAGTATTGTAGTGTGGAGCCAATGCCACAGTGTTTGCACACTAGTATTCTAGTGTAGTGGCAGTTGGGCACTATCAGAAAAGTGGCCTATAGAGGCCACAGCATGTCCTATAGAGGCCACAAAATAGTATTCTAGTGTAGTGGCAGTTGGGCAGTGGAGGCCACAAAATAGAGGCCACAGCATGTCCTACTGATGGTCCTGAGGTGTTTTGCACTTCTATTTAGTATGTATGATGAACTTCAATAAAATACGCTTTGGATGCAAAAAAAGCCAATCAAAATTGATGAAAAATTAGAAATAAGAAAAACGCTTATTAAGAAAAAAACACAACATATTGAAAAAAGATTTCCGTATACTATTTTGTTTCATTGTAGTGCTTTGACTAGCCCCTCCAGTATATCACTACCGTCTTCACCCGAAAACAAGGTATTTTGTTTGTTTGTTTGTTTTGGTGTTTGAGCTTGGACAGACTGCCCGGGGAGGATGTCCGACCGGTTGTCCGAGCGGACAACCCCGGACAGTCAGGCGGGTCGCGGACGTCAGATCAGGTAAACTAGAAAAAAAAAAAAAAAAAA